AAATTTGAGGCTTTAACTGAAACAAAACCGACGTGATATATCCCTTTTGTGTCCTCACCATGCTTTCAACAGGTTTTGAATACCAACCTTTCTCCGCTTTGGGGCACAATTTGGTTTCAGGGGAAAAGGCTGGATCACATAGCAGGAGACCTGTCTTGGGACCTGGCCAGCCACTGATGGAAGACCACATGTCCCAGGCGGTGGAGGGTTATTGATTAGCTTATCTTCTGGAAGCAGCAGGATTAAGTGTATGAGAATAGGGCGCCTCCTCCGAGASGTCACTTCATTAAAGCAAGTCAGGGAGAGCCACGTCATTATAATAATGACACAAATTCATGCTATCTGATTGGGACTGTCAGGGAATGATGTTTTATTACCAGGCAGGAGTTACTTGTCTCGGACTCGAGCATTTCACGGACTCGGCCGTTACCCTCAAACCTCCCAGCTTTTGTGGTTCTAGGATGTGCTTTGGAAAGAGGAAATGAAGGGCTGGAAAGGTACTTCTGTGCACTGCACTCACGTCTCTTATCAAATGCTAAGCTCTACCTTTCAAAACAAGAATTGCTGCTTCCTTTTGGGCTGTTTGTTGAGGAAGCTATTCTAGGCTCCTGCTGCTATGGGGTCCTTCCCTTAATTTCCAGTATGTATTTATGCACGGACAGTTTATAATCACTTCTTCTTCTGCCAAGTCTATTTTGAGCATAAATATTTCCTTTGTCGGTGCTTACATCACCAAAACAACAACAGGTTGCAATCAGATCCCCTGTAAGCACTTGCTTTCTTAGGCTAAACAAAACAACCTTGTCTCTTAGGATCTCCATTTTGTAAGCTTGGACTCATGCCTGTTTTCATCTCAACAGTTTTCCCTGCAGTTCTGTCATTTCAGATCCTCTTTGCTCGGGATGTATGATGAAATTTGTATGCAATACTCTTAAACAGGTCTTGCCAGACCTAATAACAATACCCCCCCTTTTTTTTTTTTTTTGTACCAGCAAGGAATACCTTGACCGATGCATTTTATGATTTCATTTGCCCATTTCAGGGCAGAATCACATTAGCAATGCATTAATGAGCCTGCAATCAACACCCACACCAAGCTCCCACTGCTCCTCATCTGTTTCCAATTGATGAACAACTACTTTATAGCTCATTTTTTTGTTACCATTTCTCAGCCATCCAGCTGTGCATTTTATAATCCAGAATTTCATTCCACTTCTGTTATTACTGTTTTCACAATAAACCATTTCTTTTTGGTCCCAATCTGCCAGTTTATGAGCAAATTCCCACCTCTAAAATGACCCTTGAGGAAGTCCACTAGTGACCTTTCTTCTGCCTGATACTTCCCCCCTTTTAAAGTTTTCCATTGTTGCCTCCCCTTTAGCCAGTCCTAAGCCCTTGCTTTCTCTGGTCTCACTAACAATTTATTGGAGTGCCACTTGCAACTGCAATAAATGAGAAAATAAAGCGATCCGAGCAGTTATTATACTAAAAAGAAAAAAAAAATGATCACGGGATTTTTAAATCAATTCTTTTTTTTTTTAAAGCTGCTGGTGTGAATAATGTCACTGGTAGCTTGTCCTTAGACTTGCCTACAATCTCTCCTCTCACACCTGGTCTCAGCGAGTCTCCTCGCTTCTCATTCCCTCCTCCTGTGGTCTCCCCTGCCACACATCTCACCCGCAGCTCTCGTTTTCACTCCCTCCAGAGCTGGCCCTCAAGAGGCTGACGGCTGTAGACCCCGAGTGGGTGGCTCGGCTCTCCTTGCCCCTCGCCAGCAGTTACAAGGACAACGTCTTCTCCCCTGATTCTCTGCATTCACCTCAGGACCAGGAAGCTGCAAGGCAGGAGAAACCAAGGACCTTTGAGACATTTGGCAAAGTTACTGAGTCTGACTCGAGCGCCGCTGGGACCAGACTGGCCAGCACTTTCCTTTCAGAAATGAGCACCCTCTTTGAAATGATTTTATCCCAGAAGGTCCAAGTCCACAACAAGACGGGCTCCGGGCTCCTGCGGCAGTTGTCAGCACGTGGGAAGAACCTCGGACTGGATGAGGGCGCTCCGGTTCTGTAGGCAGCTTGGCAGCTGTGAGGAGGAGAGGAGAGTCAAGCAGAGTATTGAGGGTGCACAAGTGTGTGTGGTAACAGGTTCAGCAGCAAGAGCCACATCTAGGCTGATCACGACAGGCATGCTTCTCCCTTTGCCAAGCCCCATCAAATGYCTCCATGACGGATTTCACCTTCTTTAGCTCTCCCCCAACTGCCTGTTCTTGTCTCCCTGTCCTTCTTATTCATCCATCCCTATCGCACTTGAATCATAAAAGAAGAGTCAGAGCAGGAAGATTAAGAAAGGGGGGTTGCTAATTATCCACAAGTACACAATACAATCAGATAGATCCACATGATCATAGACAGTGCACTTTGGATATTGTACAACCCAGCAGTCATGGACTTTGCAACAGGCTGCACAACTGGCCCAAAGGACCTCAGTTATTATTTAAAATAAAAATGGTTAGTTGTTTTTTTTCCTAGCACTAACATCTCTGGGACAAAGTCCAATCTAACTGACGTAATGAGGTCTCTGCAGAAAGCCTGAAATCGCGACGCAGAAAGGGCAGACCTCCACATTTTCTTACAGTGAGCATTCTGGCCTTGTGCTTCTGCTGCTGGAAATTCTGCTTTTTGTCAAATACTCCAAATTCACCACTTCTGTTTTGGAATCTGTCATATGGGCTGCACTAAGTGTGCACAGTTTCCTTCTCCATACTCTCTTCCRAGGCCCCTGAATTACAAATCACATCCTTTGCCCAAGAGCAGATGGCAGATGGATGGAGTCTATCAAGGTAATCTGGGAAAAAGCGAAAACAATCTTTAAATATTCAGACTCAAGCTTCATCCATGTTACTGTTTCCCACTTGGATSTGAATGTGAGCTGTAGCTTTTGGGACAGCAGCGCATGTTGAAAAATTAATTTTCACATATTAGTAAGAGAGGGAGGAGTAAGAGGTGGTGTTAACCGCGGGGATCAGAGACAACGGTGTCATAAGTAGTATCTGGAGCAGGGCTTATACAGCATGTTTATGGGGTGTGTATGGGGTGAACAGTGGAGTTGTGAGAGAAAGGAGACCACAGAGAAGTCCTTCTGGATCACACACATATAGGGTTCTGCTTTCACACCTGGGTTTTTGCCTTCTGACTGTGACACGAAGCCTGAGGACAAACGTGGAGTGTCCTGCAAAGCGGCTGGTGGCTACAATGGGGAGYGGAGAGAAAGCGAAACCATCACCTCCACTCCCAGTGCTCACAGCACTGTTGCTTGCTAGTTGGCCTCAAAATTCAGCCTGAAAGGAGTGTGAAAGAGGCCGCAGTGCAGCAGTGCTTTACACACGCTGCTTTCCTTGCTTTGACACCTTAGTTGCCAACACTGCCCTGCCTCCTCCCAGGTGCAACAACACTGGTTTCTCTGCAGCTTATCTGCTCATGGTGGGGACACCGTGTCAGATGTCCTGGCCGTGGTTGTGCCCATCTGCATTGCACCACCACCCGACAGACACGGGCCCGAGTGCCCCAGCAGTGTCCTACCCATCTCCTGTCCTACCCATGTGCCTTTCCCACAGGCTTGGAGGTGACAGTGCCTTGCTTGCTTTTAGTGTGGGCAGAAAATCATACACAAAATTTAAGGAAATGAAAATGCTGCATGTCTACGCCGCTCCCTCTGGGACCAAATGGCAAAAGCAAGAGAGTAAGGTCCTCCCAGACCAGCTCTTTAATATTCCAAATACCCAATATTGCAGCTGGAGCCTCCCCAAGTGCTTCACACGTGAGCCCATCTCTATCTATAAACTACAGTGATGGGCTGACCCCAGTTTCTGTGGCCATGCTGCTAACAGGAATGGCTGGGTGGTTTGTTTCACAGGCAGCACAGGTTTTGCACCAAAGCAATGACAGAGAAGCAAATCCTAACTGAGATGCAGCCGTGCAAACTGGGAGGGAGGCCTGTCCGTGGCTGTGAGGAAATGTAGCCCTATAGGGTTCTCCTGCACCTTGGGAATATGCTTGGAGGACAAGCGCATGGTACAACCTCACATCTTCCTCTGCAGTTCACTTTGATGTCCTTGTTAAAGGACAACCTTGATCCAAAAATACACTATAAGAAGCAGATTTAAAAGGAGACAAATTCCTCTCTCTTGGGTTAGTTTCCTGACTCTGCAAACTGCTCTTGGCCCCCCCTGCCATCCCTAGCCCCTGGCCTGTCCTAACTGGTGCGTAAGCACGCCGCAGATTATCACAGAATAGGAAACCCACCCGAGGCATTTCCTGCTAATTGTATCCTGCCTGACAAAGGAAACGGGCTAAGAAAGCCTGGCCTGTACAGCAGGAGAGACCAGACTGCAAGAATGAGTTGGAGCTGTCAGCTGTGCTTGGGCAGGGCCATGTCGCTCCCATGCTGAATGGAGACCACGGCAAGTGCAGGATAAGGCCACTGCCTTTGTTTTCCAGACTCTCATCTACACAAAGCAGCAGAGCTGCAGGATACAGGATGCTGGGACAGTTGGCACAAGTGCTCTTGAGCCAGTTTAGGCTTGTGGGGGCAAACGGCCTCTTCTGGATTCAGCTTCACTAGGGAAAGATAACATTATTGCACCAGCTTGTCCACATTGGTGGCAATAAGCTGGTTTGCTTAGCAAAGACGCACAAGAAAATTCTGAAGTGAACTTTGCTCAGGGTGACTGAGGGGGAATGCAGTGCACCCACGGCAGCAGCTTAGTGTCAAGTCTGAAGGATTAATAACTGCTGGCTGAAGGGACTGATGAAGATGCAGGATGGCTGATAACATCCATTACTTTCACCAATGCACACACACCTATAAGCCATATCCCACAAAAAAAACACCTTGGCCCGAATAATAAGAATCCACTCTGATCTGTAGCAGATTAGTTTGCTACATCCATATATAGAGAGACCCAGATTGCCCTGGCAGCAGAATCACTGTGGTAAAACCAAGCCCTAAAGTGAGATTAAACTGCCCTGGAGCAGGGGAAGGTGTAAGCTAGGGCCACCACAGAGCTTGCAAACTCCCATGGGGGACCCATTTGCAAATAGGGAATGATTATACATGGGAATTATTACACCAAACCATGTCACTAGGGCATGCGGTGGGTCGGAGCAATTCTGCATGGAAGTGCAGGGAGAGGCTCTGTGTTTGCAGGCACAGGGCTGGGCTGTGTGGCTGGATGGGAGATACTGCAAGATTTCCTTTGAAAACCATCATGTTTCAAAATTGCTTCTGCTCCACTAACAAAAAGCTTTCTCTTTCCATTCACTACCAGCCTGCTGCCAGTGCCACATGGACTAAGCAGGTCCACCTTTCTTTTTGCCACAGCACTGGCTGGGGCTCCAAATTCTGCAGTTCTGGTGAACTTGCCTTGTTTTCTGGGGCATAGCTCCATCCTGGACTTCCGAGTGTCATTGTGTAGAGTCTGTCTGCGCTCCAAGAGTGGGGCAGGGTAAGGGCAGATTGTCTTGTCTGAGAAGCTTGCAGACCTGCAGGCAAGTGCTCGAGGGCCCAGAAACAGGGACTAGAGGAAGATGCTCTTCTTAATCCAGAAGGAGATGAAAGCTTTCTTTCCATATCTGAAAATATACAAACAAATATATCAGAAAATATATTAGCAAAAATATATAAAAAATAAAAGCAAGATATTAATATAGGGAGCACCATACCATAAGCATGGATTTGCTGCTTTAGTTTAACTGAAAATAGCTGGTAATGAGTAAAAAGGAGAAAGAAAAAGCATTCCCAGCCGTCCCTTCAGCAAAAAAATGGACTCTTTTGCCAGGGTCTTGTGCTGTGCTTCCTCTGGCCAGATGGCCCCACTCTTCTGGGCACACGACGCTGTCCCACACGCCCCTCTTGCCCCCTGCCTGAGGTACCTTCCATCTCCTCTTCTATGGCTCGGGCTCTGTGCTGAGCGTCCTTGCTGCCTGCAGCGGCTGCCTGCCGGTAGTGCCTCAGCGCCTCCGCCACGTCCCGCCGCACTCCAAGGCCCTTCTCGTAGCAAACGCCCACGTGGTACCTGCTCTGGGAATCCTGCCCACAGAGAACACCGCAGCAATGAGACGCGCAGCACGGAGAAGTGCCGGCAGCATGTGAAGGGAGAACAGGTATTTAACACCTCCTTTAAGGCTACTTCTCCATCTTTGGTCCCTTAGACTGTATCTTTAGTCATTGTGGTCCTTCTCCAAGTACGTTCTCAAGCAGAATTTCTCAGCAGGCATCTCCAACTCCATTCCTTACCACCCTTTTCCCAGTTAGATTCACTGATTTCTCTTCAATGTGCGTCATAAGAACAAAGAAGCAGCTGTGTCCACAGGGCAGGCAGATTGCATCAGGGGTCAGAGCTAAGGGGCCTTGACTGCACCCACATCCTGCTCACACCCAGGCTGGCAGGACGCCCTGTGGGCTGCCCTTCACAGCTGACACCGAAGCCTTTCAAGAAGCAGAGCAAACGTCACGCAGGGGCTTGTTCCAAGGCTGCAAGACGCCCCTTGGCAGCCCTGCCATGCACCAGGACTGCAGCAGAACAGCCCATCCTGCTCAGCACCACCCAAACTCGCTTCAGAAGAGATCTCGAGCAGCAGAAATGAAGTCAGGCAAACAAGCACTAAAGAGGAAGAATCAGCATTATTTGGACATACACAGCGCTTGGGAATGAACTAGAAAATAGTGGATGTCACTGCAAATAGCTCAATAAAGCCAAATCCAAACAATAATCTGTTTGTAGGTGGGTGGGCTGGGCACTTTATCTTTGAGAGCCATTGGGAGGAAAAGGGTCCCATTCATAGCTAAAAAGCATGATGACAGTTTTGTGAAGACACTAAAACGACCATATGGGCCTTACTGGCCACAAAGAATTTTTCCTACATCATAGCAAGAGGATATTAAGACTCTACTCCAAAAATCTGACTAATGGGAGAGTTAATTTTCCATACTTGATATGTATTATAACTTGAATTGTATGACTGACAGAAGTGTGATTTAAACAAGGCTTTGCCAAAAAAAAGTAAGTCGCAAGTAACAG